AATACTCATAAACATGGACAAACGAACTGATAACAGACGCATTCACATATACACACAGACTGACAGACACACCCCGTCATACACACACAGACACACTTGTGCACAGACAGACTAGCAGGCAAGCAGAGTCAGGGGGAGAGAGAACACCAAACAAGTGGAAAATCTGGGCAGATAACTCCGGTAATTGATTCAATATTGACCAAATATATTTTTCCTAAAAGAACAACAAAGATCCACCGCCCGCAGAACCGCATTTATTCCACCCACTTAAACATTCAGTCAGTCGTGTTTAACTCTCTCTCTCTCTCTCTCTCTCTCTCTCTCTCTCTCTTTTACAGTGTTTTACAAAGCTAGGGTTCCTGGCTTTTATTTGCATGCTAAGAGCAATAGCTCATTTTAAAACCTTTTTTTGCTTAAGAGATATACAGATAGGGAACAGGATGAAGTTGGACCTATCTGTGGGTACCAGCGATTTCATTTCGTCAGCTGACTTTATTTCGATGATGTCATTATGCTGTACGAACATGTTCCAGACTCGAATCATCCTAGGAATAAATAATGTCAAATGGAGTGATATTCTGAAGAAGTCTCTCTTTCTCCAATACGATAACTTGAGAAACATCCCTATGCTTGGCTTCATATTTGCAACACCCACTTGTCTTAGTTTTATTGAACAAACCGGGATATTGGTTTCCGTGCTGTAACTTGAGAGTGCCTCTTCTGATTACCCAGACTGTTGGTGTTAGTCACTCGCAGTCTAACGTATGCACAGCAGCCCAACTAATCAGAAACTGACTCAAACGACGTTTACTACCTACAAGAATTGCAGCAACACTCCTTCCCTCTCCCTACCTTCCTCAGTGCTCTCTCTCTCTCTATCACTCTGCCTTCTTACAAGAATAACAAGGATACTCAAGGTTCTTTCTTGAAGACAGCCAGTTGGCACTGCCGTTACGCACGAAGGGAAAAAAATAGAGTACCATATATATAGTCCTCGCAGGTTGTCTTATTTCTGTCATCGTGTGGGTCTGGGATTGCATTGTGTGCTCATAACACTTCCCCTATCACTCTTTATTATCTTTACTAGTCCGTGGTTCGATCCCCCGTACAGGTGGAAACATCGGGGACGTGTTTCCTTAAGCACCTGCTATCCCTGTTCATCTATCAGTAAAGTAGGTACCTGGGTGTTAGCTGACTGGTGTGTGTTGCATCCTAAGGGACCAAATTAACCTAATTTGCCTGAAATACTCAACATAACCAGGGATATTTTATATAGTATTTTATTAATGTCGGCTACGATCTGTATAAGATGCATCATGTGCTTGTATAAATAAAAAATATTATTATTATTATTATTATTATTATTATTATTATTATTATCAATAAGTTCGCCTCCTTTACATCCTCAGTGTTTCACTCCTTGGCTACCCTCACCCTCAAAAAATTCAATTTCACATCTCTCCATTTTTATTTTGGGGTTCTGTTGAATGTGGGTTACCCATACGGCCAGTATGTGTAGGAATACACAATACATTAATGAATTAATGGTAAGCAAACGTATAAAGTATTTCCAGCAAAGAGTGTTGTTGGTAAGATAGACGAAGACTGGATAACAAGGAAGATGAATGGAGCGTTTCTCACAAGATTGCCGGAATTACTTGTGTTAAACTGTGCAATTTTCACCATTAATCATCATGTTCGGTGCGAGCGTGCAACAAGTTAGTCTGAGGCTGCTATTGCTGCTGCTACAAGGCTGTAACCACTCACTAGTACTACTACTAGTGTTAAACTGAGGTTGTTGCTACTGCTACGAGGCTGTAACTGTAACCACTCTCTAGTACAACCGTTAGTGGTGGACCGAGGCTGTTGCTGCTGCAAGACTGTAACTCACTAGTGCTAGACTGAGGCTGCTGTTGCAAGAATGTAACAGTAACCACTCACAAATACTCACACTAGTACTAGACTGAGGCTGCTGTTGCAAGAATGTAACAGTAACCACTCACAAATACTCACACTAGTACTAGACTGAGGCTGCTGTTGCAAGCTTTTTTTTTTAATCTTTATTTCCACAAGTTCATGTGCAAGGTATACAGACTGTAGCAGACGCAAGTGACGTACTTGATAGGAAGACCCTGGTTATGCGGAGCATTTCTGGCAAATTATGTCACTTTTGTCCCCAGGATGCGACCCACACCAGTCGACTAACACTCAGGTACCTACTTTACTACTAGGCGAACACGGACAGCAGGTGTCTTAAGGAAACACGTTCTGTTTCCACCCGTACCGGGGATCGAACCATGGACCTCCGTGTGTGAGCTGAGTGCTCTAGCAATGTTTCAGGCAGTTGATGTTTCAGGTGCTCATTGTTTTATACTTTGTTTCAGGGGAAGGTTCAGATAGGTTTCGGGCAGTTTTATTTACGAAATCGTGAAATTTGCTTCCATGTGATGACTTGCGAATGCTTCCCTGTACGTTGTACATGTACTTGTAGAAATAAAAATTATTATTATTATTGGCTTCAAAAGTTCTTTACTGATATTTAACCGCATTGGAAACTAACGCCGCACTGTGCGTTGAAGTAGATGGTGCTGGGCTTGCAGAATACGGGGATATTCATCCTTCACAGGCTACGGCCTGAGTGAAATGGAATTCCTGCTATTGTTGCAAATTGTGATGGGTTATTGAGGTGCTGCCATTTACCCTGAAATGTGTGTGCTCACTTATTTGTTGTTGCAGGGGTCGATTCACAACTCTTGTGTGTGTGTATTCACTTAATTGTGGTTGCAGGGGTCGAGACTCAGCTCCTGACCCCGTCTCTTCACTGAGTGCTACTAGGTCCTCTCTCTCTCTTGCTCCATGAGATTTATCATACCTCATCTTCAAGCTATGTATGGTTCCTGCCTCCACTACCTCACTTGCTAGGCTATTCCACTTCCTGACTACTCCATGACTGAAGAAATACTTCCTAACATCCCTTTGACTCATCTAGGCCTTCAACTTCCAAGAGTGACCCCTCGTTTCTGTGTCCCCTCTGTGGAACATCCTGTGTGTGTACTCAACTCTGTGTGTACTTAACTGTGTGTGGTTTCAAGGGTCGAATCGCAGCTCCTGTGTGTGTGTGTGTGTGTGTGTGTGTGTGTGTGTGTGTGTGTGTGTGTGTGTGTGTGTGTGTGTGTGTTCACCTATTTGTTGTTGCAGGGGTCTAGTCACAGCTCCTGTGCATGTGTGTACTAAACCACATGTTTCAAGAGTCGAGTCACAGCTCGTGTGTGTGTATGTGTGTACTCACCTATTTATGGTTGCAGGGGTTGAGTCACAGCTCCTGGCCCTAAGTCTGTGTGTGTGAGACACCACAAGGGTATCAAGTGGTGAACTATAGTTCTTGGGCTTTCCTATCTGCTCTCTTAAAAAGCATTATCAGTCTTGGTCACAAGTGCTATTAATGAGTGTATTGACTCACCTGAGTGACTCGGGGCCAGGAGCTGTGAATCGACACCTGCAACCACAAATAGGCTAGTACATAATTGTGAGATTCAGGTAGATTGGAAACAAAAATAAGCGTGTCATCAAGAAACAGTAAATAATTTGCCAGACGAGGAGAGGGGAGAGGAGGAGGAAGATAAGGAATAGAGGGGGGACGGAAGAGACTAAAGAAGTGGAGAAAAAATATTCAAGATCAAAAAGGAAGTTGGAAGAGAGAATAGCTTGGGAATGGAAAGTGAGAGAGAGAGAGAGAGAGAGAGAGAGAGAGAGAGAGAGAGGGAGAGAGAGTAATTATTAGATAATTGTCCAAATTACTTAATTACTTTTGCACACTTCCCTTCTTCCCACTCAGTGAGTCATAAAGCAACACTTACTCTCTACTTACCAGTTTATACTCTATTATTGTTATTCAGATGAGAGAGAGAGAGAATATTACATACAAGTTTTTTCCGACAGTTATTTCAGATGGTTGAAATTTGCCACTATATTTGGCTATATATATATATATATATATAATATATATATATATATATATATATAATATATAATTATATATATATTATTATAAATATTTATATATATTTGGGGTCCACCTCTGGTGTAAATTGTGGGACCCATAGCCTCGGAGAAGTGGATAAAAAGGCTTCAAGGAAGAATATTGGATTTCTTCCTGAAGCCGTTTGAATATTCCACTTCCCCTACCACCCCATCTTTTGATATATTATATATTTTTTACTAATAGGAATATTTTATTACATAGTATGGTACAGAAGATTTTGAGATACATTGTTGATATAAGGTGGCATATACGTTACATGTTGTTACGTGTGTATCACCGATTATAAGCGAAAATCTCATCTAGCTCCTCAGAGCTGGGCTCGTATATAATATATTATATATATATATCTATATATATATATATATATATATATATATATATATATATATATATTGCACAGGGAAGGCCTGTCTTTAATGGCGTAGAGACCTGCGTTTGTTAATTTTTAAATGGAAATATATTGTTCATTGAAAAATGTAGCAGAAATGTGTGTTGTGTGATTTAATGTGGAAGGGAACGGAGTACTTCTTGTTAGGAAAATGTTAATTGATTCTCGTATGTGTGAAGTGCTAGATAATTGTCTCTCACGTTATTTCTCTGAGGATTTTAAAACAAAACTGCTGTAATGCGTTATATGTGAAATTAATCGTCATTAACCAGATTCAATTATTTAAATGGTTGAGCAAAGTTTTTTAAACTGGTTTCTGTGATCATTTATCAAACTGAAAATTAAACGTTACAAATGTATTTGAATTGTGCTATTGATTTGCGATGCGTCACTAAAGGCTAAGTTTCGGTCCTAGATGGACCGAAACGTTGTCTGGATTCTCTTTCCCAGTTTACTGTGTGTTAGCTGTGAATTGTGGCTACTCAATGTACGGTAATTTTTCTTTTTTGTGAATTGTTACAGCGACATTAAGGTGACTTGTCTCTCATGCATAACTGTGTTTATTTACAGCGAGACCAACAGACTGGACACGGGCTTGCTGGTGGAGGTGTGGAACAAGGGCCTTATTTGGGACAAGGCTTTGGGCTACCTTTGGCTACCTCTCACCAATATCCAGTACTCCAATGAGGTGAGAGAGAGAGAGAGAGAGAGAGAGAGAGAGAGAGAGAGAGAGAGAAATATTTTTGTTAGTGAGTTTGAGTTTGAAAAAAATTTCCTGGTATAGGCCAATAGGCTTGCTGCAGTGTTCCTCTTTTTTAAGTTCTTGAGAGAGAGAAAGAGAGAAAGAAAACCTTTATTTTATTGCACTTTTTGGCGAAATTATTCAAATAAACTTGCTTGTAGATATATATGCTAGGGAAAGAAACAGATTAGCAGAAACACTGGAAATTTTGTGTCATGTTATTTTAAACACTTGAAAAATAATATTAAAGTCAGTACTGATAATGACAAGTGTAACAAGAGTCATACTGTATTAAAACAAACATTAGTGAAAAGTATTCAGTATGATGTTAACTGTTATGTTACCAGGAGAGCGTTGTAGGGTGAGGTAACGCCTCGCACATCATCATGGTAACAACATAACACAAAAATAGAACAACCAGGAGAGCGTTGTAGGGCGAGGTAACGCCTCGCACATCATCATGGTAACAACATAACACAAAAATAGAACAACCAGGAGAGCGTTGTAGGGTGAGGTAACGCCTCGCACATCATCATGGTAACAACATAACACAAAAATAGAACAACTTTAATTAAGTAGAAGTACACATCAGTACAGTTATCATACATGGTGTAAATTACCTAGGATACCGAAAAAAAGTGTGAATTTTCATTTGGGTCCTTGAATTTTCATTGGGTTGTGTGTAAGCAAGTAAGTTTATTTAGGTACGGGTACATAATACAATTATCATACATAATGTAAATTGCCTAGGATACCCAAAAAAAAAGTCAGTGACATATTTCCATTGGGGTCCTTGAATTTCCATTCGGGTGTGCGTAAGTTTTAGGTACAGGTACACATAAATACAGTTACACAAATTATCATACATAGTAACATATGCATAACAACCACTGTGAAAAAAATAGTGAACTTCTAAGCGCTCTCGTGATTTTCCACAGTATTATCACAGATCCTTGATTTGAGAAATCACGAAAGCGCTTGGAAGTTCACTATTTTTTTCCCACAGTGGTTATTTTGCATGTTACTATGTATGACGATTTGTGTAACTATATTTATGTGTACTTGTACCTAAATAAACTTACTAACTATTTGTAATGTCCGCAGGAGGGGGAGGGCCGGTGGTACGACCTGGATGCTGAGAGAGTGATGGAAAATGGAGAGGTAAAGGGCACTGCAAATCCTACTGGAGACTCGCTGCTGCTCGAGTGCCGCTTCGAGTTACCATGGGGTATGTATTCGTGTCAAAATAAATTTTTTTATAGGTATAATTTTAGCCTATTAGTGCCCTGTCCAAGCCTATTAGTGCCCTGTCCATTGCATGAAGGTCATTACGATTGCAAATTAACCTGTACACTAATGTTAAGAATTCATTTATTTCTAAGACAGATTAAAGTAAGCTCTGTTGAGTATATACACAATAGGGATTAATGTAAGCTCTATTGAGTATGTACATTGAGGGATATAACACCTAGGTGTTGTTGTTGTTGGGGTTTATAGGGCCATTGAGGGCAAACACCTAGGTGAGTTAGGTGAGTACCTCTGTTGCGTCTCTTAAAAACAAAATGGAGCTGAGAAGTGAATGAATTCTATGGATTGAAAATCAAACAATACATTATAATTATTATTATTATTATTTTATATAGTAATATAAGGCATTTTATAAATGCAGTACTGTCTTATTAATTAATATGGTAATTATGTAGTATTAGCAACGGTTTCATAGGGTATACTATATTAAATACAAATACGTACGTAATATCAAGCCACTTTACTAAAGTATTAAATATCTGCAATAAATTTTATATATCACACTGAATCTCCATAGCTAGTTAATAAAATATTATTTTGTGGATTCGTAATTAAATGATTTCTTTGAATTATCCGGTATATTATTTTGTCAAATATTATTTCACGTGTTTTTCTTTTCATATTTTGTTTTGTTTAGAGCTTATGGTTATATATTTTACTTGAGACTAGTAACGAGGGAGCATTCACCAAATTCAACTTCAGTAACAAAAACATAAAGTGGGACCAAGTAAACCAAGTCCTAACCGATATAAGCTGGGAAGATATACTAAGCAACACAGACCCCAACGTATGCCTAGAACAGATTAACTTGGTGGCACTCGATGTATGCACAAGGCTTATTCCTCTAAGAAAAAGGAGGAGTAGATGTAAAATAGAAAGAGACAGGCGCTCCCTTTACAGGCGACGGAAAAGAATAACAGAGCGGCTAAAAGAGGTCAATATATCTGAAATGCGTAGGGAGACACTGGTCAGAGAAATAGCAAGCATCGAACTCAAGCTAAAGGAATCTTATAGGAGTCAGGAATCGCGGGAGGAACTAAAAACCATAAATGAAATCGAAAGAACCCCAAAGTATTTCTTCTCCTATGCCAAATCAAAGTCGAGAACAACATCCAGTATTGGGCCCCTACTTAAACAAGATGGGTCCTACACAGATGACAGCAAGGAAATGAGTGAGCTACTCAAGTCCCAATATGACTCAGTTTTTAGCAAGCCGCTAACCAGACTGAGAGTCGAAGATCAAAACGAATTTTTTATGAGAGAGCCACAAAATTTGGTTAACACAAGCCTATCCGATGTTATCCTGACGCCAAATGACTTCGAACAGGCGATAAATGACATGCCCATGCACTCTGCCCCAGGGCCAGACTCATGGAACTCCGTGTTCATCAAGAACTGCAAGAGCCCCTATCACGAGCCTTTTCCATCCTATGGAGAGGGAGCATGGACACGGGGGTCGTCCCACAGTTACTAAAAACAATAGACATAGCCTCACTCCACAAAGGGGGCAGTAAAGCAACAGCAAAGAACTACAGACCGATAGGACTAACATCCCATATCATAAAAATCTTTGAAAGGGTCCTAAGAAGCAAGATCACCACCCATCTAGAAACCCATCAGTTACACAACCCAGGGCAACATGGGTTTAGAACAGGTCGCTCCTGTCTGTCTCAACTATTGGATCACTACGACAAGGTCCTAAATGCACTAGAAGATAAAAAGAATGCAGATGTAATATATACAGACTTTGCAAAAGCCTTCGACAAGTGTGACCATGGCGTAATAGCGCACAAAATGCGTGCTAAAGGGATAACAGGAAAAGTCGGTCGATGGATCTATAATTTCCTCACTAACAGAACACAGAGAGTAGTCGTCAACAGAGTAAAGTCCGAGGCAGCTACGGTGAAAAGCTCTGTTCCACAAGGCACAGTACTCGCTCCCATCTTGTTCCTCATCCTCATATCCGACATAGACAAGGATGTCAGCCACAGCACCGTGTCTTCCTTTGCAGATGACACCCGAATCTGCATGACAGTGTCTTCCATTGCAGACACTGCAAGGCTCCAGGAGGACATCAACCGAATCTTTCAGTGGGCTGCAGAAAACAATATGAAGTTCAACGATGAGAAATTTAAATTACTCAGATATGGTGAACACGAGGAAATTAAATCTTCATCAGAGTACAAAACAAATTCTGGCCACAAAATAGAGCGAAACACCAACGTCAAAGACCTGGGAGTGATCATGTCGGAGGATCTCACCTTCAAGGACCATAACATTGTATCAATCACATCTGCTAGAAAAATGACAGGATGGATAATGAGAACCTTCAAAACTAGGGAGGCCAAGCCCATGATGACACTCTTCAGGTCACTTGTTCTATCTAGGCTGGAATATTGCTGCACACTAACAGCACCTTTCAAGGCAGGTGAAATTGCTGACCTAGAAAATGTACAGAGAACCTTCACGGCGCGCATAACGGAGATAAAACACCTCAATTACTGGGAGCGCTTGAGGTTCCTGAACCTTTATTCCCTGGAACGCAGGTGGGAGAGATACATGATTATATACACCTGGAAAATCCTAGAGGGACTGGTACCGAACTTGCACACGAAAATCACTCACTACGAAAGCAAAAGACTTGGCAGACGATGCAACATCCCCCCAATGAAGAGCAGGGGTGTCACTTGCACGTTAAGAGACCATACAATAAGTGTCAGGGGCCCGAGACTGTTCAACTGCCTCCCAGCATACATAAGGGGGATTACCAACAGACCCCTGGCAGTCTTCAAGCTGGCACTGGACAAGCACCTAAAGTCGGTTCCTGACCAGCCGGGCTGTGGCTCGTACGTTGGTTTGCGTGCAGCCAGCAGTAACAGCCTGGTTGATCAGGCTCTGATCCACCAGGAGGCCTGGTCACAGACCGGGCCGCGGGGGCGTTGACCCCCGGAACTCTCTCCAGGTAAACTCCAGGTATAAGGTGAGTAAAATATGTGAACGGATGAAAACTGAACGTGAATGAGCCTCCAGGTGCTCAATGTTTGCGAATTATGAGGGTTCTTATGGGGCTGGAGCGAAAAATGTGATAAAAATGAAATAATTATCAGATTTCGATTATTTTTATTTAAATTGTAAGTTAATCAAGCTGCTGTAAGTTACTTCCTGAATCACCTGAAAATTCGTCCCACAAAAATGAAATAATTGTCCGATTTTAATTCTTAGTTTTGTACTTAATGAACCGTCCAACTTTACTGAGGCCACTATAATATAAGTAATGTGAGATGGATGAATTTACTTAATCCAGGTGTAAGAGAACTTTTATGTACAGTTTGTGGAAATTAAAATGTTTGGCCACGAGTGGCTTCGTCAGTCTTAATAATAATAAATTTACTTTTTCTGCAGTATACAGGTAATGTACTTGCAATAAAATATTGTTAGGCACAAAATAAATCTACTAGCATGCAGTACATTTCGAACAGTAGAACCATTGGTGGCCTGGTGGCTAAAGCTCCTGCTTCACACACGGAGGGCCCGGGTTCGATTCCCGGCGGGTGGAAACATTTCGACACGTTTCCTTACACCTGTTGTTCTGTTCACCTAGCAGCAAATAGGTACCTGGAAGACACTGCAAGGCTCCAGGCGGACATCAACCAAATCTTTCAGTGGGCTGCAGAAAACAATATGAAGTTCAACGATGAGAAATTTCAATTACTCAGATATGGTAAACACGAGGAAATTAAATCTTCATCAGAGTACAAAACAAATTCTGGCCACAAAATAGAGCGAAACACCAACGTCAAAGACCTGGGAGTGATCATATCGGAGGATCTCACCTTCAAGGACCATAACATTGTATCAATCACATCTGCTAGAAGAATGACAGGATGGATAATGAGAACCTTCAAAACTAGGGAGGCCAAGCCCATGATGACACTCTTCAGGTCACTTGTTCTATCTAGGCTGGAATATTGCAAATGTATTTAATTATTCTATTATTGACAATCTATATCATCGTCATGCCAAATTTTTCAGTTTATCAAAAAAGTTTAGTTATGACTAAAATCAGACTGGAGTAATATATATATATATATATATATATATATATATATATATATATATAATATATATTATATATATATATATATATATATAGAAATTTTTACAGACAAACAACAGGTATGTTTATTTACTAAAATTATTATTTACAGTTAATAAATAAAATAATTATGCTCATAATTTAAAATTTATATTAACTAAAAATTGTGTGTGTGTATGTGCGTGCGTGTGTGCGTGCATACTCACCTATTCTTGGTTGCAGGGGTCGATTTGCAGCTCCTGGCCCCGACGTGTGCGTGTGAGTGTGTGTGCATGTGTACTCTCCTATATGTACTCGCCTGTATGGGGTTGCATTGGTGTAGTCTTAGCCACCTGTCATTTGCCATATTCACTCCTAGCCTCGTGGGTCCTAACATACCTATTCTTAAAAGTACGCATGGAGTCTGCTTCCATCACTTCATTTCAGCTACATCATTAGCCAGGTCATTCCACTTCTTGAGCACCTTTTGGCTGAATAAATACTTCATGACATACCTATTGCTGGCTTATCTGTGTCTTCAGCTTTAAATGTCGTACTACCTCTCTAACCTCTCTACCAGTCTGCCATATCAGCGGGGCGGTAGTTCGTATATTGGTTTGCGTGTGGCCAGCAGTAATAGCCTGGTTGATCAGGCCCTATTCCACTAGGAGGCCTGATCAGAGACCGGGTCGCAGGGGCATTGACCCCCTGCAGTGACCTCCAGATTGACTCCTCTAGTTGTTCTGTCCTTTAATGTTGTTAGGTTTAGTTCCTTTTGCCTCTCATAACTCATTACGGTGGCCCATGGCCTGGTGGCAAAAGCTCTAGCTTCACACGGTGAAAATCCGAGTTTGATTCCCGGTGAGGGTTGAAACATTGGGAGTGTTTCCTTACACCGGTTGTCTATGTTCACCCATCAGTATAAAATGGGTACCTGGGTATTTGTCGACTGGTGTGGGTCGCTACCCAGGACAAAATTGGCCTAATTTGTCTGAAATACTCTGCATAACAAGCGGCTTTCTGTATAGTGGTATGTCATTGATATCAACTAGGACTGGATACCTTGTACATGTACTTGTGGAAATAAAGATATTATTATTCTTTTTCTCATTTACTCTGGAACAAGACTGGCAGCCTCTCTCTGCACTTTCTCCAGCTTAACATACTTTATTAGGTGTGGGTACCATGCTGATGCTGGGCACTCCAGGATGGGCATGACGTATGTTGCATAAAAAGCTACGAATGCCTCTTTTTGAGGTTCCTAAATTTACTCTTATATTTGCCAAACAAGTATTAGTTGCAGAAATTATTAGGTTAGTGTGAACCTCTGACTGTGTGCTAAGTGCTGTGCTCACTGTACCTGGGTCTTAGTCGACTGGTGTGGGTCGCAGCCCGGGGACAAAACATAAATTACCTGAAATGCTCTGCCTAACCAGTGCCCTTCTATACTGTATGTCATTGAGGTCAACTGTGTCGGTACAAGTTGTATCATGGACTTGTAGAAATAAAGATTATTATTATTATTATTAAGAGTAGTTTGCAGTCTCTGTGCCCTGAGTCAACTGTTCACTCAGTGTCTAGTTTTCTTTGCCCTTCTCCAATTTTTTATTACCTTACATTTGCTGGGGTTGAGCTCAAATAACTACTTATATCACACCAGTCTAGCAGCTTGTCTGGAGCCTTTTGTAATTTATAAATAATCCGCACTTAGAAGACTGAAATTTATGGTGGCATTTCCGTATTGTAACTTTTTATTCTTTATGGTCGCTGTTTGTAAGTTTTTCCTTGTCTCATTAGTGAGTGTGTACTCACCTTTATGTTGTTGCAGGGTTCAACACAGTGCTTGGCTGCTCTGTGTGTACTCACCTAATTGTGGTTGCAGGGGGCGATGCATAGTTCCTGACTCCACCTCTTCACTGGTCGCTACTATGTTCACTCTTTCCCTGCTCCATGAGCCTTATCATACCTCTTCTTAAAGCTGTGTATGGATCCTGCCTCCACATCCGGGCCTGACAACTCTATGACTGAAGAAATACTTCCTAACATCCCTGTGACTCGTCTGAGTCTTCAGCTTCCAAGAGTGACCCCTTGTTGCTGTATCTCATCTCTGGAACATCCTGTTTCTGTCCACCTTGTCAGTTCCTCTTAGTATTTTATATATCGTTATCATGTCTTCCCTCTCTCTCCTGTCCTCCAGGGTCATCAGATCGATTTCCCTGACGACACTGGGCACTTCCCTGTGATTGTATTCACCTAATTGTACTCACCTAATTGTGGTTGCAGGGGTCGAAGCTCAGCTCTTGGCCATGCCTCTTCACTGACTGGCGCCCATATGGCGCAGCAGTTATCTGGTTAATGTGTGCTTCTGGCGACGTACTCGGTATTATACTCACCCCTAGATCTTTCTCCTTGAATGAGGTTTGCAGTCTTTGGCCGCCTGTGTGTATGTGTACATGTACAGGCCTCGATTCACATCTCCTGACCCTGTGTTTGTGTACTCACCTGTTTGTGGTTACAGGAGTCTAGTCACAGCTCTTCGCCCCCCTTGTGTGTGTGTGTGTGTGCGTAGAATTAGGGGGGATATGATTGAGGTTTATAAGTGGAAGACAGGAATAAATAAAGGGGATGTAAATAGTGTGCTGATAATATCTAGCCTAGACAGGACTCGCAGCAATGGTTTTAAGTTGGAAAAATTCAGATTCAGGAGGGATATAGGAAAGTACTGGTTTGGTAATAGAGTTGTGGATGAGTGGAACAAACTCCCAAGTACCGTTATAGAGGCCAGAACGTTGTGTAGCTTTAAAAATAGGTTGGATAAATACATGAGTAGATTGTGGGTGGGTGTGAGTTAGACCTGATAGCTTGTGCTAACGGGTCGGTTGCCGTGTTCCTCCCTTGAGTCAATGTGACCTGACCTGACTAGGTTGGGTGCATTGGCTTAAGCCGGTAGGGACTTGGACCTGCCTCGCATGGGCCAGTAGGCCTTCTGCAGTGTTCCTTCGTTCTTATGTTCTTATGTTCTTATGTGTGTAAGTTTTTTAGGTGTATTAAGTGTATGTCAAATTAACCTAAACTAGACTATTTTTCAATTGATTGAATTCTTCTATTTTTATCAAATATTTTGATGTTTTAGGTTATTAATAATGAACTTTAAATAAAAATGTTATAAATATACAAAACTTCCAGATTCTCTAAAGATTCTCATTATTTGTTTTCCATAATAGTTACTTCTCAGAAGTTAATTTGTATCCAGTTTAGGAATTTTTAAAAAATGTAAAAATATTTTTTATTAACTTGAGCCTTATGTGATAATTTCCTGTGACACATGTATTGGAAACTCTGATGGCTAAGAGACGTAACACCTGCTCTTGTATCCTCCACTGTTGATTACATATATTTGTGTATGTGACATATAGCATGCTAAAGTATTTTTGTTTAGCTTGTTTGTCACATCTATTATTGTCATGAAATAGCTGTCATGACATGACATTTTAGTGCATGTGAACAAAACATTTATTATAAAAAATATACAGTACAGTATATCCATTATCTTAAATCATCATAGGATTTTACAATGTAAACGAAGAATCAGACTACTAAATCTAATGAGAATTTCGCATGTTTAAAATCTAAACATTTTATTTCCTTACCAGGCAAAAAGGCCAAAGAAAGGGCAAGGAAGAAAGGTACAGTACTGCTTCTTATAGAACATAAATTGCAGGCTTTTGTATGTGATCTGCATCAACACCTTTTTTCTAGATGTTTATATAGTTGTAATGCCAGACATGTTATGACTGCAACTCGTGCGTAAACATACAAAATACGCAGTACTTTATATATATATATATATATATATATATATATATATATATATATATATATATATATATATATATATATATATATATATATATATATATATATATATAATATACAGTACTTGTGCAGAACTAGAGGTATGAGTATTTTAAAAAATACGTTTGGAATGAGGATTACGTGACATTTTTGTAACATGTATATCAGGCACCCCCCCCCCACACACACACACACACAACACACACACACACACACACACACACACACACCACACACACACACACACACACACACACACACACACACACAAAGAGAGATCAATGGAATCAAGCAAAACTTGCAGTTAGACTAAGGACGGGAGTAAGAACTTGCAAGGCAACACGTGTAGCATTACCTGCATATTGTAGTAGGTAACATACACGGTGTGTTTCTACCAGGGAAGATACTACCAGAGCGCTTGAGAGGTTATTTTTGGGAATTTAGGAGTCAAAATTTACTGACGTAGTAAAATATTGGGAATACTTGTACAGATTTTTAAAGCAGATGAGTCAGTCACTGCTACTAAAGTTCACAAATAATCTCATTGGTAAAATCTTATAAAGAAGAAGTCGCCTCAACAATTATTGACAGTGCCTTTTAAATTAGATGAAGCCTTCCTTCTAGCAGCCACAGTGCCACATGCTAGGGATTTCATATTGACTGTCCTTAATTCCTCACTCTGGGTATTCTCCTTAGCTGACCCTGTCCTCATCGAAACCAGTTTTTTCGGTTGCATATGCAGCATGATATTATCAAAGCAGTTTGGTTACCTCAGTCTCATTTGTTATAAATCAGAGGAAAGAAATACATGACATGAAGTTAACAAAACTGTCAAGCCAAATAAATCGCTAATTCACTGGTTCTCAAACTGGGGTCTGTGAAACCCAAGGTCTCTACTGTAATAATTTTAAGAGTCCACAATAGGCTATGGAAATGATGAAAATTTGCAAAAAAGTCTGAGAATGTAAAAACTGATAAATAATGAGGTGTTGAAAATGGGTAATGCAAAGATGCTAGACTTAAGTTTTAAGAAAATTAGCTTCAAATTTGTAATTCTTTCTGGTGAGGATGAAGAGGAACAAAGCTTCCTGAGGGACGCCAGCGTCCCTTGACTCACACGGTGACCTGGATTCCAGTGTTCATCCTGTTGGCTGCTCGCAAATCGTGTTCATCCATCTCATTTTATCGTTAGGCTTCGTTTAGTCTCACACAAAGTGGCTGTTGCTACTACTGAAGTAATGGAGAGTGTTATTGTCAGTGGTAGCTTTCTTTTTGTCGGCTGCTGTCTTACAAAAAATGAGTCATCGACTAGAATTGAACTTTGGTTGTGTTTGTTTCATCTCGAGTATAAAGTTGGGGCATATTTTGTCCTTGGGAGTGAAAATTAATTTAAGAATTTTCTTTTATATAGCTTTACATATAGTTATAATTTTTAGAAGCTGGAACTATAATATTTTGGTGTGTGTGTGTGTGTACGTACTCACCTATTTGTACTCACCTATTTGTGGTTGCAGGAGTCGAGTGTTAGCTCCTGGCCCCGCCTCTTCACCGGTTGCTACTGGGTCTCCTCTCTCCCTGCTCCATGAGCTTTATCAAACCTCGTCTTAAAACTATGTATGGTTCCCGCCTCCACTACGTGTGTGTGTGTGCGTGTGCGTGTGCGTGTGCGTGTGCGTGTGCGTGTGCGTGTGTGTGTGTGTGTATATGGCGCGCGCGCCATGTGTGTCGTAAGAAGCGACTAAAATGCCGGGAGTAAGAGGATAGTAACCTGAATAAATTACTAAATTTAGATCACCCTGCCTCGGTGTCATACGACTGATTTGTTGAAAAAATGTATACACACACACACACATATATATATACACACAGCGATCAGTGAAGAGGCAGGGCCAGGAGCTAAATCTCGACCCCTGCAACCACAACTAGGCGAGTACACACACACACACACACACACACACTGGCTGAAGTGGCAAGGAGGGCTCATGCGAGCAGGGCAAAGCTACTGATCATGGGTGACTTTAACCACAAGGAAATCGATTGGGAGAACCTAGAGCCACATGGGGGCGAAGAAATGTGGAGGGTTAAGATGGTGGAGGTGGTACTGGAAAACCTCATGTACCAACACGTAAGGGACACTGCCAGAGAGAGAGAGAGGAGAAGATGAACCAGGGAGACTAGACCTAGTATTCACCTTGAGTAGCACAGATATTGAGGACATCCCGTATGAAAGACCTCTTGAGGCCAGTGACCATGTGGTTCTGAGTTTCGACTACATAGAGTTACAAGTGGAGGAGGAAGCAGGAAGGGTCAGATGTATGAAGCCAAACTACAAGAAAAGGGACTACTTAGGCATGAAGAACTTCCTGCATGGGGTTCAGTGGGACAGAGAGCTGGCAGGGAAGTCAGTAAATGAGATGATGGAATACATGACAACAATATGCAAAGAAGCTGAGGAGAGGTTTGTGCCCAAGGGTAACAGGAATAATGAAAAAGCCAGGATGAGCCCGTGGTTCACCCAAAGGTGCAGGAAGGCCAAAACCAAGTGTGGTAGAGAATGAAAGAAGTATAGAAGGCAAAGGACCCAGGAGAATAAGGAGAGCAGTCATAGAGCAAGAAAAGAATATGCACAGGTAGGAAGGGAGGCCCAACGACAATACGAAAATGACATAGCAGCAAAAGCCAAATCTGATGTGAAGCTGTTGTACAGCCACATCAGGAAGAAAACAACAGTCAAGGACCAGGTAATCAGGCTGAGGAAGGAAGGAGGGAAGATCACAAGAAATGATTGAGAAGTATGTGAGGAGCTCAATATGAGATTCAAAGAAGTGTTCACAGAAGAGACAGAAGGGACTCCAGAAAGAGAGAGAGATGGGGTGCACCATCAAGTGTTGGACACAATACATACAACCAAAGAAGAAGTGAAGAGGCTGCTGAGAGAGCTTGATACCTCAAAGGCAATGGGACAGATAACATCTCTCCATGGGTCCTGAGAGAGGGAGCAGAGGCGCTGTGTGTACCACTAGCAACAATCTTCAACACATCAGGGCGATTACCTGAAGTATGGAAGACAGCAAATGTAGTCCCAGTTTTTAAAAAAAGAAACACACGAAGCATTAAATTACAGGTCAGTGTCACTGACATGTATAGTATGCAAGGTCATGGAGAAGATTATCAGGAGAAGAGTGGTGTAGCACCTAGAAAGGAATGAGCTTATCAACAACAGCCAGCACGGTTTCAGTGATGGGAAATCCTGTGTCACAAACTTACTGGAGTTCTATGACAGGGGGACAGCAGTAAGAGAAGAGAGAGAGGGGTGGGCAGATTGCATTTTCTTGGACTGTAAGAAGGTATTTGACACAGTTCCACACAAGAGATTAGTGCAAAAAACTGGAGGACCAGGCAGGGATAACAAGGAAGGTACTACAATGGATCAAGGAATACCTGTCAGGAAGACAACAGCGAGTCATGGTACGTGGTGAGGTATCAGAGTGGGCGCCTGTAACGAGCGGGGTGCCACAAGGATCAGTCCTAGGACGGGTACTATTTCTTGTATTTGTGAACATGACGGAAGGAATAAACTCCGAAGTGTCCATATTTGCAGATAAGTTGATGAGAAGAATTCAGTTGAACGAGGACCAGGCAGAACTACAGAGGAATCTGGACAGGCTGCAGGAATGGTCCTGCAACTGGCCTCTGGAGTTCAACCCCACCAAGGGCAAAGTCATGAAGATTGGGGAAGGACACAGACAACTACAGACGGAGTACCGGCTAGGGGTCCAGAGCCTACAAACCTCACTCAAGGAAAAGGACCTTGGGGTAAGTATAACACCGGGCACATCTCCTGAAGTGCACATCAACCAAATAACTGCTGCAGCATACGGGCGCCTGGCAGACCTAAGAACAGCATTCCGACATCTAAATAAGGTGTCATTCAGAACCCTGTACACTGTGTACGTTAGGCCCATATTGGAGTATGCAGCACCAATTTAGAACCCTCACCTAGCCAAGCATGTGAGGAAACTAGAGAAAGTGCAAAGGTTTGCCACAAGACTAGTCCTGCAGCTAAGGGGTATGTCCTCTGTGGAGAGGCTAAGGAAAATCTACTTGACGACACTGGAAGACAGGAGTAATGGGGGGGATATGATAACGACATATAAAATACTGAGATTAATCGACAAGGTGGACAGACAGGATTCAGAGATGGGACACAGCAACAAAGGGTCACAGTTGGAAGTTGAAGACACAGATATATCACAAGGACATTAGGGAGTATTTCTTCAGTCACAGAGTTGTGAGGAGGTGGAATAGTCTGGGAAGTGATGTAGTTGAGGCAGGATCCATACATAACTTTCAGAAGAGGTATGATAGAGTGCATAGAGCAGGAAGAGTGACTCAGTAGCGACCAGTGAAAAGGCAGGACCAGGAGCTGTGATTTGGCCCCTGCAACCACAAGTAGGTGAGTGCACACACAGATTGAAGATGGCAAATGTAGTCCCAATTTTTAAGAAAGGAGTCAGACATGTAGCATTAAACTGCAGACCTCTGTCACTGACATGTATAGCGTGCAAAGTCATGGCAAAGATCATCAGGAGGAGAGTGGTGGAGCACCTAGTAAGACACAAGCTTATAAACGACAACCAGCACAGCTACAGGGAAGGAAAATCCTTCATCACAAACCTACTGGAGTTCTATGACAGGGTGACGACAGTAAGACAAGAAAGAGAGGGGTGGATAGACTGCATTTTCTTGGACTGCAAGAAGGCCTTTGACACAGTTCCTCACAAGAGGTTAATGCAAAAGCTAGAGGATCAGTTGCGCTTAACAGGAAAAG